AAAATTTTTTTTTTTTTTTTTTTTTTTGATTGGTGCTATTTTCCTATTGGATGTTTTTTATTTTTTTTATTTTTGTTTTGAGATCTGTGTAAATTGTTTCTAAGCCTTGAAGTCTAGATGGTTTAATTCAGACTTATTCGTGAATTGTATCAGAATTGTATTAGAATTACAAAGCAAAAAAATAAGAAAAGATGAGAGATAAGAAGAATTTCTCATTGGAGGAAACACATGATTGCAAGCATTTAGGCTGAACAGCAAAAGATTCATAACCCTTGGCTTGCAATCCCCTATATACACTTTTTGTTTGGGGTCTGAGAGCTACAAAAGAAGCTACATATTAGTTATTTGACTAAGAGAATTCGCAGAATGACATCAATAGAGTCTTGCTTACAAGAAGCCGTCTCACTAGTTTCTTAAGTTACTGACTTGCTCTCAGGCTGCTTAAACAATTATGTTTATTTGGTTGGTATAGTCACTTCCCCATTAGTCCAGAGAGTTCTTCTTGAACGTTGCTAACAAATCTACATTGCACTCATGTACAGTCCATTTTTATTCAACTGGCTAGCACACTTGGAATAGGCCTGGTAATCTTGTTATGATTTTAGCTGAAGAGTTTGGCTTTAAGATTTTGGTGTACATTTAGAGTGCATTTGGGGCGGCCGTGTGGTGCCGTACCGCAATTTTGTTGCGTGCTCAAAAAATTACAGCTGAAAACTACCTACAATGAACTGGAAAGATCCACAAAAAATTACAGCTGAAAACTACCTACAATGAACTCGAAAGATCCAGTCCTTTTTCTAAGACTAAATCTTGTAATAGCCACTATAGCTTTTTGAAAAACAACTTCTTCTTTAGCACCTTCACAACTGCTTCTTCAAATAGTTGTAGCTGCTCTAAACAAACCCTTAATTCACAATGATACCCGAAATTGCTGCGAAACAAGCTAGTTGGTCAATCATGTAAGTGTATGTGTCGATCAAGTAATTTATAGAAACAAGTTCACGTATCAATTCTATGACGATATCAAAAATTTTTAGACAGGTAAAGTTATAAATTTCGGAACCGCTAATTCTAGTTTGAAGTAATCAAATGCCATTAAAGATTATAACAGTCCTAAAAATGCAGTAAATAGAAATGGTATGAAAAGCCTTGTGTTTTCAGATATGCAAGATTCATACTCCTATGACATCGTTTAGGTGGTTTCTTGAACTTTTGCTATGGAACACATGCTATTATTGACAAACAGCGATACAAGTTTTATACTTGAGTTTAAGCAAAGGATAGAAGATGAATCTGAAATCCATAAAGTTAAGTTTCTCTTAATCATATGACATTTCCCAGGATTCTTCTGATCCCCCGTCTATGTTGCAAAATTCTAACTAGAATATCCATTCTACTAAGTTTTTATGGTTAACTTGCTCATTTCACTACACGACAGATCAAATTCATAGTTCATGAGAGATTTTAACATTTTTATCATATCTGATAAAAATTAAATTACGGCCAAAATATTTACCGATCAACATAAGAAATTCTTGCAAAAAATGAGCAAAGTAAACACAAAATTTATAGAATAAAAACCACAAGAAAACTTGAACTTTCCATCACATGAGTGAAACAAGATTATCTACAATGCATGAAGAAAGAAAATATGAACTTTCATATTATGGAAATAAAAAGCAGATAACGTAAGAAGTACAGAAAACTCACCACAAAGTCAATCGATTCTTACAATACATCATGATCCTCTCCGATCAATACAAATATCTGTGGATCTCTCTCATACATATGCACTCAATCGCTCTTTATAATATAATCAATCTCCTAAAAAAATGAAAAAAAGGAAGAAACAAAAGAAAACAGACTCTTCTTGAGCAAACCCGGGGGTAAAACTCCTAGAGCTCTAAAGACTTCCATGAAACCTAGAGGCTTGCTTCTAAGGCCAAAAATGCTTCTATAATGATAAAAACAAGTTTATATACTTAGTATTACATTAGAGGTCTAGAATAGACATTCAAACACTCCAAATCAGTCAAAATCTAAAATTTAGGCATTTAGGTGTGTTAGCGGGTGTGGGTGTGCACGTCTACTCACTCGAGTGCAAGCATGTGTGCTATTGTGTGCCCAGGTGCTCGCAGCTCCTTTCACAAGTGTGCAAATATGCGCACACACATGGAGGAGGAAGCGAGCACATGTTGGTTGCAGGTGCTTGTACGTGCACATGCGTGCATGCAAGCTTGGTTGTTTGTCTTAATCTTAATTTTCATCTTTTTTGCTCCCCAATTTTTCTCTTTTCCTTCCCCAAGTGGTAAAAATCCTATATCTTGCACATCACAACAAAAATACATTTCTCAAGCATAATATCATTATAAACAAGACATATAACATGATATTTAATGTAATTAAATCACGTAAATTTACTTCGCATCACACAATTATACAATTATTTCATAGAATAACATGTAAAGATCAAAAGAATGATTGTAACAAAGATCATATTTTTTACTAGAAAATAAGCATGCTCCACTTAGCACTTTTAAGAAAGTAACATTATACTTCTCTATTAAATTTGCTATTTATTATTTTTATAAAAGTTAACTTGAAAAAAAGAAAGATGAGCTAACAAAATATTATAAACATTTGTTTGCATTAAAAAAGTAAATATTGTAATTTAATAATTTATAAATATTTAAATTTTCATTCAATTAGTGCATGGACCATTTTGTCTATCTTAACATTATTAATTCTATATCAACAAATCTATTATTTATCTCTAAGAAAGTTATGAGTATTATAACTCCATCATCCTCATGGATCAAATTATGCAAATTCTACATTAATATGATAATTTAGACATACAAAATTTGGTGTTTGAAGAAATTAGGGCCAAGAACATTCTTAAGAGAAAAAAAACATGATAAAAGAGAATATTAAGTCATCCAAGCTCTATTGTTGATATGATTTATTACACTTAGGATGTTCTACAACAAAATGTCATGTTTTGATTGTTGAGAAATGTTTTGAGAGTAACCAAAAGCTTTCTTGCATAAGTAAAACATATAAACTCCATATTATTTCATCTAAGTTTCTAAATCACAGTAATATGTGTTTTAAAAAAAGCTATAATACTTATTATTTGTTTAGCAATGAAATTTACCTCGTTGACTACTGAGTCGACTTGTGAGAACATTATAATGGAAGGAAATGTTCCAATTTTTTGTATACTTTTCTTAATTTTTTCCAAGTAATGTTATACAA